GGGGGGGGGGCGTATATTAAACAAATTGTAGCATTTTTGCAGCAATTCTGAGAAATTAAAATCTCAAAATCATCAGAAGTTTTTTCTGGCACATCATTTTGTAGAGTTTGACTAGTTTGCATGTACAAGTACTAAGATCATAGTTTGGCAGTTGAAGCTAACTTATTATAGAATTATTAAGCAGCCTCTCTTTGTGACTCTCAGCTGTGCGCAACGATCGAAATAAGAAGAAGAAGGACGTGAAGGATGAGGTTGTTCCGCCAGAGAGCTACGAGCTGAGTGGGGAACTGGAGGAGCTGGTCAATAAAGTGAGCAAAGCACATCAAGAGACCTTCCCTTCACTCTGCCAGCTGGGAAAATACACCACAGTGAGTGTTTTCTGAAAATGAGTGGATCTGTCAGCAATGGAATGTGGAATTTATTTATAGTGGTGTAAACAGACCATGTCAGATGTAGTGTGATAAACATGTTCCATTATTGAAAACATAATTTAAAGGAACAGTGCACACAAAAGATAAATAGTCATTTATTCAACCTCATGTTGTTCCAAATCTGTATGACTTTTTCTTCTGTGAAATTCTTTCTGAAGAACAATCTTTTCAGTATGATGAAAGTAAATGAGCACTGAGGCCATCAAGCTCCAAAATGACAAAAAATAACCATAAACTATCATTAAAGTGTAAATATAATTCATATGCTCTAAGTGTGAAGAACAGACTGAATTTTTTTGTATATTCTGCTAAATTTCTGCTTGTGTTCAATGTATTAAATAGCCATATGGGTTTGGAATGACATGTGGATGAGTACATGATTCATTTTTGATTGAAAAATTCATTTTAACGTATATTAATGCACACATATATTAACCTCTTCTCTCTTTTTATTTTCATCAGAACTCAAGCTCAGACCACCGGGTTCAGCTGGATCTGGGCCTATGGGACAAATTCAGTGAGCTTTCCACCAAGTGCATCATTAAAATTGTGGAATTTGCCAAACGCCTTCCGGGCTTCACCACTCTCACCATCGCAGATCAGATCACCCTCCTTAAATCAGCCTGCTTGGAAATTCTAGTATGTGTGCCTTCCTTTAAGTATCTCACCTTGATGTAGAACATGCATCTACTACATTACTTTCACATAATTCTTAGCCTCATAAATGTCTGTGTCTCTTGCAGATGCTGCGAATCTGCACACGATACACACCGGAACAGGACACAATGACCTTTTCAGATGGACTCACCCTCAACCGGACTCAGATGCATAATGCTGGCTTCGGCCCGCTCACTGACCTGGTGTTTGCCTTTGCTGGTCAGCTTCTGCCCCTTGAGATGGATGATACGGAGACTGGACTCCTCAGCGCCATCTGCCTCATTTGTGGAGGTATTACATGATGCAATTTTGTAGCAACACTGCTGCCACCTAGATGAAGCAACAGGAAAAATGTTAACATTATAGATTTAGCTTATATTCAGAATTGGAAAATGGATGGAGGTACTAGTATGCTAATGCTAATACTCTTTCTCTGTAGACCGAATGGATCTTGAGGAGCCTGAGCGTGTAGATCGTCTGCAGGAGCCCCTGCTGGAAGCTCTGAAGATCTATGCACGACGCCGCCGACCCAACAAACCTCACATGTTCCCTCGTATGTTGATGAAAATCACTGACCTGCGTGGCATCAGTACTAAGGGTCAGTTTACTAGCCAAAAACTACATGGAAATCACCTTAGCATTACTATTCTGTTTGATTTTCTAGAATTAAATCTTGATGAAAATCAAATGTTTTTTTTTTCAATGGATTC